AGCGGTTTTTAGTAACCAATATTTTTCTGACAATCTTCTTGAAATAAAATGTAAAATTACTTATTATCTGATGTCATTHGCTAGATTCAAGATGCAGATTCTTCCATTTTAGTTGGAAATGATAGGAATATATACTCGGGTTGATAGGTCATAAATAATTACGTTATATTGAGCACACAGAATCTGTATTCTTAAATGTCATGTATCCTTCTGAATATTGCCTGACCACATTTGTTTTCCTTTACATTGGTCTCTTTGAAGAGGTATCAGTAAAGTCACATATCAGATMAAACATAATTTTTATATTGAATCAGGATTCAGTCAAAGATTGATTTGACAGCTGTTTTATCGATAAAAACGGTGCTAGAGTGTAATTCACAAGTTTTGATATCAACTAAATGCAGTCAAAGCTTAGCAGTTCGTATACGTAATGGTGATATTATAAAAAATGTTCAAAACGACAGCTATACATCGGATTACTTTCATATTTACAGGAATTTTAATTCAATTTGCCTTTGCTTTGCTGCAGGAATTTCAAACTTCTAGGTATTATGAAAGCTATGTATTTTTAGTTTAGATATAGAACTAAAAGCGCTTGAAATTTTGCAAAATCATCATCTAATAATATGTTACTTTCCACCCATAAAACGCTTGAAATTAAAAGAAAACTATTGTGTAACACACAACAGACACAAAAGAAAGCGATTAGTTTGCAAACGTTTTGCGGTTAATACTGTTAGAGTTACTATACTCCTTCGAATCTAGTAGAAAAATATAGTTCTTTCAAAAGATGCGCGAAGATTAGTACCTTTTGATTGTTATCAACATCATTGACATCATCAAAGTCATTGTCATCATCATCACTATCATCATTGTCGCCATCATCATGGGTAGTAGTATTTGTACTAAATGGATGGTTTATATATTGGGTAAACAAGACCTGCATACTTTGTTACAATGTACCCTCGCCGCCACGCATTAACATATAGCTGTGACATAATTTATGTTTGGTCGTCTTAGTTTACGTAATGAATTGCGGGGATACAAATACGCCATAGGTCATGTATTCTATATTTATATATTTTAATTCAACAACGAAATTTTCCGCCGCTCTCGTCGGTGGAGAGTTGACCACAAGACGCGATAATGCCCGCCGAAAAGCCCGCCATTTCAGAAAATTTTGTTGTTGAATAAGAAAAACAGGCAATAGAGCATTTTTTTTTCTCGTGTATTGTGCTGTGATCCTCGATTCAGCTACTCTATTGTTCAAAGATAGACGACCCCATTTATTATAGATATCTAAAAAAATTATAGATATCTAAGAAACTTTTTTATTGCTTCTAAGTTTGTTCGCCAAATTGTATATCTATCCAATCAAGTTTTGCTCTAGAGTCAATTTCGAGTGGGAAACGTACGGTAGAAATTACCGCACGGTTACAACACAGTTACCGGACCTGGCCTGCACAATTTTTGTGAAGCAATGAGACACTAGAATTTGGTTACAGTACGATTACGGTTACAGTACAGTACCGTCCGTTTCCCACTCATACGAAACTGACTCTACAATGTAGTTATATGCGTGTGTACTCTGGTGTTCAGGACTGCGGCAAATGAAAGCATTAATTGAGCACGTGCTTATTACTGTGTACAATGCAATCGAAAGTATGCAGATCTTACCAGATTGTTCGGTAAATTATAGCAAAGGACGAGAATATCGTATTGAATCGTTTCGACTATGCGCGGTTAACGTTCACAATCCTTACAATCCTCGGGGAGTCGGGTTAGGGGAGTCCGGGGTAAAAGTATCGGGGATGCTCGTCAGAAATGTTCACTAAGACCCCTAAAAGATCCAGGGAGTCTTGAAAAAAGTGCGTGGCTGACTTATTTTTAACCCCTAAGAGATTGCACAACAAATATTGTTAACTATTAAATCAGTTCCAATGAAAAAAACGTAGAGGAAAATCAATATCTCTTCTTTACTGACACCCCAAGAGGTCGCAGAAAATGTAAATTTCCAGAAACTCCAAATTGGCACTTCAAAATATATATTACAAATGACGAAATGACCCCTAGGAGATCCGACTAGCATCCCCTGTACTTTTACCACGTCCCCACCCCCACCCCCTGCAGGAATAGTTTGTGTGAAAGTGAAAATGTGTCCAGCCTGGTACGAATGGACGAAAATCAGACTAAGATCTAAAATAAAAATAGAGACATTCACGTTACCTCTGTCTTGACTTTATCGGCAATAGCACCCATCAACGCAAAGTGTCTGGCATCCTGAAAAAAAAAATAGAAAAAAAAGGAAAGACTTTAAGACCAGACAAAGGCAAAAAAGGCTGAGTGGGCATCATCAAAGAATCTCTCATCGGTGACCAAACGTCTTCAAAATCACTTCAAGTTTGATGCTCCATCCAACAATATCGAATTGACAAAACGATGCTGAAATGTGCTATGCCGGATGATGCTACGGTTTCTCGCTTGACCTCAGTATCTGAAATGCTTGAAATGATGATTCATTGTAACGCCATTCTTTTGGCTCTCACATTTCCCTTTGGCGTGTGAATTGGACTCCTCGACTCCTGAAGCTCCCCCTCCCCACCCCTTCACACTTACTATTGCTATGCTTTGCGATCTTCGTTTCACTGCACGAGCTTTGTTCAGTTTCCATTGAAGCAATGTGCTGGCTACGCCGCCAAATGACAGCTTATTCTGATCTACACCTTTGCTTTGTTCAGGGTTCACGCTGCTTGATTTGCGTCGAAAAAGCTTGCTCACGATCTGTAAAAACATGCATATCATTTGCCTTTTAACTGCTAATTCAGTTAATGACAGTCATAGCTGTTGCACTTTAGTGAAATGCTTCTCGTCACTTTCTTTTGTTTACTCTTCTGAGAAATAAACAGCAAAGCTATCGACGCCATATTGGATGAATGAACAAGAGAAGGAATGAGGAATGAGGAATTCCTGATTAGTTTCTCTTGTTCATTCATCCAAAATGCTTTGTCGGATTACCATYCAATGTGGTGGAGTGATGACGTAACTTGCACGCCAAAAATAGCAGCAATATGGCCACCAATGCTTTAAGGGTTTGGTAGAAAAGTATATGATATGATATGATATCAAGTGCTTGCTGTTTTGAATAGGGAAGTGATTAAATTATTGCATTGACAGCTATGGCCATACTAACTATCGGGACCATCGTTTCCCAGTCATACTAGTAAATGAAAACAAAAGTGTAGAAAGGATAATTCACGTTTAACATCAAGGACATGATTATCCTTTGTAGGTGGAAAAGGAAGCGCCAACATCACCTCAAAACTATTTTAAGAGCCTGAGTAGCGAAGTTTAACAACCCCTAACCTCTCGCACGGAAGAACCTCAACCACCTAAGTTTAACTGGTTTCCGCATCTATTGGCGGCAACCGGTTGTGATAGGTTATCATAAAGTATATATTACAGTACCTCAGCTTGTTTTGCCGTCATTGTGTTGTCAGTTGGTTGACTAGCTTCTTTGACTTTGATTATAACGTCTTTTTTGAACTGATTCAAATGAGGTTCTWCGTYGCCCTYGTCTACGTCTACTTCATTTCCTTTTGGAGATGAACTTTCTCCATTTGTTGGACTGCTCACGATGCCGGCAGAACTTGTCTCACTATCGATRGTGGCACGTGAGGAATGAATATCCTCTGCACAGCTGATCGAACTTGAAAACAAGCATTGCAAGATTTTGTGACTATAAATAAACAACTTCTTTGTTAAAAAACCTGCATTGTGACCTGAAGTTTTGAAGATCATAAGGTTGGTTTGGCTCGGTAAAAATCYAACACTTGTTTCTTTCAAAATCCTAGCTGTATAGWATGTCTTAATAGTATGGGGGCTCCACGAATTCTACGAGTGTTGGAGGATAGTCAACAAAAATGGGATTTTAAAWTTTTCAGGTTTTCCTGAAAATATCTCATATATATTATGCTTTAAAAAGAGATTCAAGTTAAAGGTAGAAAATGATGTCACAAGCCGTGTTTTCATATCTAACGCTATAGTAATGAGGACCAGGCCCTATGAMCCTCTGAAAGCTTTACTTTTGCATTTACTTTTCAGATTCGGCTTTGTCCTGCTCACTCGTTACATCATTTCCAGTATCTACTGATTTCGAGGAAGTAATTGGTGGGATTGGCTTTCCTCGTAGCTGCTCCAAAGTTTCTCCGTCACCTTGACCTTCTAGATGGCTTCCGGTGATTGGTTCCAAGTGTAACGAAGAGCGCCTGGCAGCTGTGATGTCGACTGCATCTCGAGGTCCCTGCACGAGTGAGAAAAATATTTAACCAAGGATCSGGCTCTCTCTGGAGGTTGTGAACCTATCCTCACTCTGATTTTCCTTCAGAGATTTCCAACCACTTATCATGATGTAAGGGATCATCATATGCACAACTTGTGAAAGTGCATTCTGCCAATGGCCACGTGAAGAATCAAGGCTCTTTTATGGCYTTTTTTCAAATTTAGTTTCACKATATCAAAAGCTTAAAATTTGGGAAGTAAAAAAATCATTTTTCTTGAGATTACAAAGGAGGCCCAACAATGAAAATTTTCGAGTCGTCTGCGAAGTAGGATTAGTACTCAGTACCTGCGAGTCGTCGTCGTCATCCTGCACATCACTGGACAATGTGTCAAGCCAAGCACTTACTTTGGCACTGGAAGCGATCTTCACATCGGCTCTAAAAACATTAAAAGCAGCATTAGTTAATCAAATATGGGAATGGGGACTACGGAATGAGCACCACGCCATTTTCAAAAGCAAAAATACATTGGAGTAGATCCCTTGGTCTTTTTTGTCCAATCAGTTTGTTACTGGGATTTCTTTGCAAAAATACAAATAATAGCTATGCCGTATCTGCTAAGAAAACTCAAACAGCGAATTTGAGGAGTCGTTTGAGAAGGCATAAAAAAGGGCGAGGACTACACTCGTAAATATTTCTGAATTGTAAACATTTCTAGTGCAGGYGAAACAAAGCAAGCACAGTGGTCAAGGGGAAAAAGAATTATTGTCTTTAACTATACATCAATAGGCGGGCCCAAAATCTTTCTAAACAAACTTTCAGAAAGCAGAACAGAAAACAGATGACACGAAAAAGAAACTTAAATAGGATTCGATCTGCCTTRACCTATACTAACCTTAGCTGCCTATGCGTTTCTTCTTGAAGTGGAATCGGCTCCACACTAAAAGGACGATCTTTTTCAACATCTTGATTGGGTACAGCTTGTGGTTCTGTCGACACGGACCGTAGTGGAACTAGCTTCTTTGAAGCCATAGTTAGATATTTTTTTAATTTCTCAAGATATCTACAGAGAAACCTATCTTTTCATACGGGAATAAAAATCGAAGCGAAGTGATTGTGACGCGAATTAAGTTGCGCGCGCTACCTCGGTCACCTTTGCGCGTGCAAAAATGTTTGCTAAAACACTCTTTTCTAAACCAAAGTATTATTGGGAACTACAATGTAGCATCTCACTGACTTTCCAAGGAATTGGGAGACTTTTTTAGCGGATATAAGCAATAAAAACAATAATTCCCGTCATACTTTGATTTAGAAAAGTGGCGTCGCTTTGTATAGCCTGTTTAATTTTTCAACCTTGCAAGCATGCCTTTTTGGTAATCTTTTTACACTGTCAAATATCAATTTAATAATAATAATAGATTAGTGTAATTCGCTTACTTAATTATGTTTTTATGTCGTCATCGGTAATTACAATCTACATTACGCGCGCTAGCCTTGGTCTGTAAGTACGATAGTCATGGCGCGAAGAACGCAACCGCTCACTGAAATAAACCATCAACTTCGTCTGGACATCCTGAACCCGACGGCAAGCCCGGCACCAGCGCCCGCCGAAGGTAACAGACGTTCTTCTTTATCGTCGCTACAAGAACACGCGCGCTCAATGATTCTCCACTCGGTTGGTCTCAAGAACTTGTCCCGAATCACCGAGTTACCGCTTCCTAAAGCTATTGTGAGCTCGCTGGCAAATCAACTAGCACTTGAAGACTTTTACGTCAATCGTAATGATCTAAACACAGACCACATGAGCCATTGCGTCTACCCCGCAAAGTGTTTACTCGATATGTCKGACGTTGTGATCAAGGTTATCCCACAAGTGCTTGCCTGTGATGAGCTAGACGCTTCGGTGGACAAATGGATAAAAATCAAACACCCAAACCTGATGAACTACTTCATAACTTTCGAAAAAGATGGCACCCGTGTTTTGGTATTTGAGTACCCGCCCTATGCATTTCCAGATATCATTCGTGTTCTAAAGAACGACAAAAAGCAAATACCCGAGTTCTTGATGTGGAAGGCCTTCCATGAACTTGCGGCGGTGYTGAAACACGTCCATGATGATGACGTTCTTTATCCATCTCTAAAGCCAGAACGACTTGCGTTTACTGAAGACGGTGTGCTGAAGTTAGAAAATGGGATTCTCTACGCTCCAACACAACAAGAAATGATGGGAATGGACGCTGCTGGTATCGACGACTCTGGAGTTACTGGCGTCTACACCTCTCCAGAGACTCTCAAGGGAGACGAACTAACAGTCAAGAACCTTGTTTGGATTATGGGATGTTTGTTGTACGAAATGGCCGCGCTTGAACCAGCATATGCCAACGTTGGAACCGACATGTTTGGAGCCATGGGAAAGATCATGGAAGGAAACAAACCTTCTCCTGTCGAGGGGTACTCCGAGGACTTGAACGCGACCATCAGTGAGTGCTTGAATACCGAGCCTCAGACAAGACCTACACTCGAGGACTTGCAGGCAAGGTCTAATGCTAAGATGGAGGCTTTGATGGAAGGGTACAAGGGAGAGAACATCACCCATTTGGTATAAGGACAAGCAGTTGTCGATGAGCTTTTTCAATTCTCCAATGTTTAACATCTATTCGGTACATCATGATCAATAAYTAATGTGTGATGACACCGTATTTCTTAACTGGTAACTTACAGTAGGAACTTTATTTAAACAAAAAATTCCAACCAATAACTCCTAAAAGGCCACGGCATTGTAAGGYTTTCCAAATATGACTGTCTGACTTATGCAAGTCAATACTACCTCAATTCGAAAGTGGTTTTATCTTCTTTTATTTACATTTTATTTCTGTTTATCAAAGTGGGGCTCAACTGAATGATACCTATTATGGACCGTTTATACCCGTTATACCCGCATAACAGGTTGAAATRAAAAATCAAGTAATCGTATGTACACTAACAAAACCCGTATAGCAGGTTCTAACTTGTTACGATGGTGACCATACGTTGCCATGGCTATCAGGTTTGTCGGTATGGCGTACATCCCACATCCACGGTTTGTCTGAGAAAATAATCATGATGATAAAAAAGAAATAAAAATAAAAATCAGCAAGCAAGTAAAGACTCGTTGCTTTGCTTGACTGATTATGTTAARCTTCGATTTCAATCTTGAGTGAATGAAAACGGTTTTTTCYCCAAACTGTYAGATGAGTRTGGKGACAATCATTTATTGCTGAACGGTTCGCATGCCGATGTCGAAACGTAAATAAGATTTATTATTTTATAAGAACGTTTATATTGCTTATGCTTGSTAGTAATTTTGTTGAATATGATTATAAATGTAGGTATAAAATGAATTTTGTCGTACAACGTGGTCGTACCTTCTTTGGTGTAAGGRGTTACTGGTAGATCAAAAGGCACCGTGACAGGTACACTTGTGTGACTMTTTGATCCTGWYTGTKCGTGACTACCATCCACAGTGAAGTGGTCCAAATCCGTATCACAGTCCTCTGGTAAGAAAAGAACTCCAATYTCATAGGAACGAATCATCAACTGGGACCCATTCTTCTCCATTACACCCCAGGCAGCTTTTGAGAGATTTGAACTGGGAACAATATAAATAGAGAGGAAATGATGAATTTTGATTTGGTAATAATGCTGATGATAATGATGATAACAGACTGAAGTGAGAATAAATTCAAAAAATAAACAAACAGAGTTGATCTTGAAGGTTATCACGAGTTTAATTGCAAAGATTACGCTTCGTGTCGTACCTGGTAACCATGAACCAAGCAAGTTTGCTTGCATCTGGTGAGACTCTTGCGTATGATTTGATGTGAGGAGAAGCCTTAGTTCTGCCATGGGTGTTGGACTTCCACCGACTAAAAAATCAAAGTTTCTCAGTTGCTATCAATAATTAATTATTGAAAGTGGAAAATCTYTTATGGCGGGATTTGAAAGAGAAACAATAGCAAAATACTCCATTTTCGAATTCCACGCGAACAATCGCTGCTTTATTTGACAAGCAGATTCTCTTGCGCAAAGACYTTAAAGTAAACTAAAGAAAGCACAAATAAAACAGCGGTTATTCGCTTTGAAATTGAAAATGGAATATTGTTAGTCCTAAAAAGTGACTAACAGAACTAAAGACAAAGATACCAGTAGAAGAATGGACATTTTTGTTTAACATTAGCCCTCGTGAATTAGACTTCTTTTTACTRTTGTTGTCTAAATCACTCGACAAAAACTTTATTCTAATGGGTAGTGATTGACCCTATTAAAGTGCTTACCAAAAGAATGATGTCAGCCAAGGTTGTTTCACTGCTGTTTTATGACTGTATGGTATTGATCCACCAGCTGTGAATGAGTAACTTATTGTATATTAATGTTCATCAATGAATCATATATTAAATGACTATCATTTCTATAATAAGAAAATAMAAATTAAATGTACCTGGATATCCCTCGAGGCTCAGACGAACGTCATCAACAGATGGAAATACCTAGAAATAATACAAATCTTCTTGCACCAAACTATTCTCTCTGTAAGTTAAGGTCTTAATCAATGATAACTCTGGTGTCAATCAATCAGAAATGTGAAGAGAAGTAGTTGTTTGCCATG